TTTAGCTAGATGACCATACAGGAAATCGGAAACGCAGCGTAACTGGAATATGTTTTTGTATATGACTTATAGGTGTTATTAACAAATGTTGACGTTTTCTATATGTTCAATATCTAATATATAAAATTCTCGTGTCCCGGTGTTTGTGGTTAAACTCCTCCGAAACGGCTCGACCGATTCTCATGAAATTTTATGTGCATATTGGGTATGTCTGAGAATCGGACAACATCTATTTTTCATCCCCCTAAATGTTAAGGGTAGTCCACCCCTAATTTGTTTTTTAATTTTAGATAAAAATTTAATTCTTAATTTTTTTATCATACAGCATTAAAAAATACATACAACCCCTAATTTTCACCCCTCTACGATCAACCCCTATTTTTTATTATAAATGATATACATGGCAAAACGACGTTTGCCGGATCAGCTAGTATTCTATATATCCAAAGCATGGGTAATAACTTTAACTAACCTAAAAGTCGTATATGTAAGGTTTAAAAGTTTTGATCAATTATTTTGATTCATCTTCAATGTACCAGCCCAGAGGAGACAAATAAGTAAGTAGAAAGAAACCTTGAATTACACGAACAGTAGTCACATCATGAGTGTTTTCCCAATTAACAACGAATTGTATTCACCTCGCAAGCTGTTTAAGTGATTGCGTCGAACTACAACTGCTGATTTATGGGCTGTTCGCTCTCTGCGTAGTGATTTTGTGTCGATACAATATTTACGTTACCAAAAAACTTGGAATTACGATGCTGGAACTGTTTTTATGTTATTTCTGAGCAACATCTTTGATTTGTATTTCGAAAACATCGAGTATCTGTGTAAAAATAAAGTTACATAAATAAATATAATGTTTTGGACATTGAATTTGCCATCAACTAGTTTTTTGTAATGATTTTACTCGTGTTTTAAATTGGTAAAAAATATTGATGGTAAACGCTAAACATTTATTAATATAAATTGATTCACAAAGACGGAATGCGAGCAAGTGTAACCAAACGGAAGACCCTTCTTTTTCTTCATAAAAGTTCTTTATTCCGTAGTAATAAAGCGGAAAATAAAAGAAACATCTCCTCAAGGATCTGTGATGAACCCATTGTCTTTCATACCGCAGTTGCAATTATAGGGCTCTAAGCTTTATTGTGTGCATTCAACAATAGCATTTTTATCTACACAAAAGCCTTTATAAATGCAGTATTACACAGATTCCTAGCCGTTTAAATTTTAGTGAAAAAATTAGATCAGAAACATATTATTTAGTTGCAAGGCACTTATTTATTCGCGATATATTTGCATCATAAAATCTTACAGAAGGAGACATGATTTCACTGCCTAAAATTAATGTAGCATTGAACGTGCAACTCCCAAATCCAATAAATATAACGACACGATCCAATCATAATACAACACATTCCAACGCTAGCTTTCTTCCTAGTAAAAAACCGCAATAATATATTTGCCTAACCCAGCGCGCAATTGAAAACACAATAGCAAATCTACATTACATCCCAAAATTCAGACGACTTTCCCTATTCAAATATTAAGTTTAGTAAGAATTTTAAATTAGACTAGGGTGGCGCACCCGAATTAAATATTAAGTAGTCTAATCAAGGGAATTTTGAGGTTTTACGAGATATTGTTGACTGTTTCTACTATACGAGTATATACGGCGGTCGACGTAAAATTACCTTTTTACTCTGGGACTTAGTTAAAATCATTCCCAGTTGTCAAAAATATTATAATAATGACAGGTTCCCCAAATAATCAGCCAGCTTATTTATTATCCGTTTACTATATGCGGGGCTTTTCTTATAAGTAATGACAACACTACTCGTATATATTATTTTGCGCTATTCATAATTTGAACAACATAAGTATATACAAATAAAACAGTTTAAAATATTAGTGTTTTTTTTTACTCCTAGGCTAGTGGACGCGTGACACACTCTTAATCGGTCTTAATATTAATGTATTAATATATGTTTTTTTTTTATATTTTCATTTAGTTTATTTAACAAACACTATCAGATCACTGCAATTGGAATCTTATCCTTTATATATCGTCTGGTTTTTAATTATTTTATTATTGAAGTAACATTTAAATGCCTATTAAGTATTTTAATTTTATGTTATTGACTGGTATTTACGAATATATTTAATACGTACGTGCTTCGAGTATATTTAGATCTAGATCATTAGTAATTAACATAGTTTGCCAATTTAGATACAGATATTAAGTCTATCAATCACAGTTAATCATCAAGACACCTGATCACATATGGGAATTCAATTGCATTCTAAGATTACTACAGTTTAACTATATTGGGTAAAGTATTGGGATGGAATGTATAGCCTTTGTATTGTGTCTGTATATTGTGTGCATTTAACCGTCAAGTTAAAGGTAAGTTCTGGTAAAATAAAATAAATGAAAAGCTTGCATAAAAATATAAAATCACACGAAATAATTGTGTAGTGACCGCTCCACTGAGGTTTCTACTCGCTTCGCTGCATTCAACATTCAAAAACATATTACTTTCAATTGGTATAACGTTATTTAGTTGCAAACCTATGTTGTATTCCAAATAAAAATTTGAAAATTCGAAAAATCTGTGAATGTGTATCTATTTTCACTTCTATCCGATTACCCTATCGTATGCCAGGTGTCCAATGAAAAATAACACCTATAAAACGCACACTCAAAAATCCATGACAAAATATTTACTCGAAGTCTGGCTTCCTATCCGCAAGCGATCGTTACAGGCAAATAACAGGCGGTCGGATGAACCTCAACTTTTTACGATTTAGAATTCTTCTTTATTTACATATGCTGTAGAAACCTGGAGGGCAAACGTCCAAATTTTATTTATTTTTCCGCTATTTAATGAAATGAAAACACAATACACGTTGGCGGCGGAAGGCAAAAGGAAAAATGTGAATTCGCTTTGCGGTGTACTTTAAACATACCATATTTACTTTTCTTTAATGCCCTTTGTTCGAGATTTCTCGAGATAATATTATACATTTAATAATGTTTGTTCGGAATTTCTCTTTAATTGAAGTATATTTCACCGTAAATATTATTCTATCAATTTTATTAGTTCTTGATAGAAAGTCTTCATATTTCATTATGTGAAAAATATTAATAGTTTTGGGCGGTTATGGATAATTATGTTAGACTAACTGTAACGCGTCTTAACTGTGTTAATTAAATCGTGGCGAGATGTCTTTCTCGATAAATGATTAGTTTTATGTATGTAAAATAAGTATTTTTAATTTCCTGTATAATGTTTAATACAGTTAAATATTTACCACGGAATTTCGTCCTCTTGTCTCCAGTCACCCACAAAATAGTGGAGACTAGTTTCTGTAATAATAGAAATCATGTATTTTTGTATTTTAAAATAAAAATAATCTTGATTACATATTACGTAGTATCTTATGATGTAACAGTTGAGTTAAACCCAAAAAACTTTTATCTAGAAACACTTTTAGTTCAATTTGCATTTTTAATGTAAAAGCTCCGCACTCCTACGCTACTCCTATTAGGATATTTTGGAAATATAATTTAAATATAAAAAGGCTACAAAAAGCGTAATCTCTAGGTCGTAACATACGCATTTATCATAGGTTTTGTTTTTGTCAGCAGTCTTAGTCATATATATTGTGAGTGATGCGCTTAATCCGAACGAGACATGATATATTACATGAACAAACTACGCGGTTATGGAGAAAAACAATTCATTAGGAAGATAAATGAACGGCGGGATCGGTACCGTCAGGTGATTATTTTGTAATGTTCTAAGCTACGCAAGTCCTCGCAGAAAATTATACCACACTCGTGACGATTGATACTTGAGACTGTATTAATTAATATTTTAATATTTTTAAGTTAAATGCAGTAATTTCGCAAACTGGGATAACTTAGTTAAGCAATGCTTTATATTTTTAAATTGGTAAAAGTGGTAGATAGCATTTAAGGCAATCAAAAAGTTGTTGAATAATTGGATTGTTTTTTATGATAAATATACAAATAATAAACGGAGTAAGAATTATTAAAATAAACTCGTAAAATGCAGAGCCTGTAAAGAAAACTTATTAGTGTTTTAAATTGTTGTCATAAATAATAATAAAAATAATTGTTAGAAAGTCATGGTCAGAAGAACCGTAATTTTTTAAAAACAAAATAAATTTCTTAGAAATGACTAGGTTTTTTGTAGGTTAAATAGGTTTTATTTAAAGTATAAGTATAATGTATATAATACATTTCACTCAGTCTAAAGTTTAAGGTTTACATGAAATAACGTTTGCCCACGGTCACAGTGCTTACACGTTTGGTTGTGTGCCAGAATGTATATCGTTTTGGTATCATTAAGGAGCATGCACGAACCACTACGAGCTACTTTAATATTTATATCATTCTTGTATGTAACTGTACATGATATGAAATGTGGCTTCCCATTGCCAGGACTTATGAAAAAATTCAAAATGGAATCGTTGCCTAATGTGACTGGCCGGCGAATATATCAAGTAAAATCTATATAAATTAACAAAATACCTAATGAATTACCAAATTTTGGGACAAAAAAGTTAATAAAAAAAAGACAGACAAAGACATAACTTTTAGACATAGAAAAACACTTTTTTAACGGATTTGAAGTTATGTTTCATTATAAATTTACAATTATTTTACATAATTTTAAATTTAACCGACTTTTCGCGTGCTTTACAGCATGCGTGGTCACGGTGACTGAAGACAAAAGGTGTTGAATGTCAAAAAGTATCACAGCTGTAGAAAAAGTTGTGTTATCTGTTTTTATTACCCCGGAGTTGGTATCGACTAATTAAAAAATTAAAAAATTATAAATTTATAATAAAACATAACTTCAAATCCGTTAAAAAGTGTTTTTCCAAGCAAGTTTTTCCTAAAATACAAAAAAATAACATTTAATTTCTTTCCAGCCGAGACCGGGAACTGTGAGGTGCCACTTGGAATGGAGAACGGCAAGATCTCTAACGAGTCGTTATCGGCCAGCTCCAGTTACGACCAGAGTGTATCTCCACTCAGCTCAAGGTATACCAGTTTCCACATATTTTGCAAGTTGTAGATTGTAGTGACATCTAAATCTCTATTTGACAAGATTTGCAACAAAATTTTTTAGTTACGACACAAAATATTTTAAAAAAATAGAATTAATTTAATTAATTTTACGCTTCCGTCCCTATGGCGTATCATCAAAACAAACATCAAGTTTGTTACATAATAATTATCATTTTGAAAATACACACATATTTCGATCAAAAAGAGTCTCCAACATAACTAAACTCCAAGCCAGTATTAGGATTGGACATGCGAAGACATATTATTTACAAGCATCCCAGGTACTCGTCGAATCGACTAATCTGTGTAGTTTAGTGTCACGTCAATGACGTATAAAGTAAAACGTAAACAAAAATATTTTTAACTATGGATTATTAATTTACGTTTATTTACAAATGAGCAGTGTTAGCTATTAGCGTGCGACTCTCGTCCCTGAGATAGTAGGTTTGATCTTTGGCTATGCACCAATGGACTTTCTTTCAATGTGCGCATTTTAACATTCGTTCGAACGGTGAAGGAAAACATCGTGAGAAAACCGGTGTGCCTAAAAAGTCGTCAGCGTGCGTCAGGCACAGGCGGCTAGTCGCCTACTTGCCAATTAGATTTACAAATGATCATGAAACAGATACAGAAATCTGAGGCCCAGACCTAAAAGGGTTGTAGGACCACTGATTTTTTTTATTTACAATTTATTTTACTTTATAATGCTTTTTAAAACGTTGCTCTATTATTACTCTCTAATACCATTTAGTAGATAATTTTAAAGTTTCGAAATTTAATATATAATAACTGCCTTATCAACGTGACAGTACCTAAACTAGATTTTGTAAGTCTCTGGCTAACGATTACAAACAATAAAAAACAAGAACTAAAGCAGGACAAACAATATTTCATTATTTCGCTCTCTCTCTCTCTCATTTTTAGGCATTAGTATGACGTTAGACGAAAGTATAAACATATTCCATCATTTGCTATTTTAGCGCGGTTTCTAAGTTTATGTCCTTGTTATTAAACTGAATTATTTAAAAGATACAACGCTTATAAACCAAAGACAATGTGATATATAATTACAGCGTTTCTGTATTTTAAAATGTACATTTACATAAATTATAGACCCGGCTTATTTTAGTTAAAAGCATAGATACCCGTTCTATGTTCACGAATGTTCTTCATTTGGAGAGCATTTAGACACCCTTCGCAAGTGGAAACCAAGGGGAAAACAAAACGAATAGATAAAAGGATAACCTAATCATGATTAGAAATCCGATATGCCATACATATATTTGCTTTGACTAAACTAATACTTATTTAGATATTAGGAATCAGTTAGCTTAAATCATATTGTATCTATTAATTGATTCATAGAAATAATAATAAAACTTATTATAGACAAAGGACTAGTATTTTAAAGTTTTAAATTAACAATCGCAATCGCAAATGCATATACTATTGGGAAAGGCATATCTTAATATATATAAATCACGTGTCACGTTGTTTGTCCGCGATGGACTCCTAAACTACTTTACCGATTTTAAATTAAATTTGCACACCGTGTGCAGTTTGATCCAACTTAAAAGATAAGATAGCTTACATCTTAATTTATAGCCACAATATTATTTTATTGCAAATTATTTATTTATTATTTGAGTCACAGTTCTAACAAATGGCGCTGTGTTGAAAGTACTAACGTTTCACATAAGCTACAATTTAATAGCATAACCACCAAAAAAGCATGGTGATCCCCATGACTGGTGTTCTCCTACTGTCCTACTGTTTCCCTTGAATAGTTTACTACTATGTAATATAACAAAAACCTTAGCCACAGCAATGCTTGGCCGAGTCTGCTAGTATACTATAGTTTATACATACAAGATCTTCCACCAAAATTTAATTTTCTTATCTTTTTAACTTTCCTTGGATCATATTATTCCTCGTACTAATAACTTAATATTGTAAGAACGATCCTTGATATAACTTTACACAATAGAGCTTTTCGGCTCGTTAACGAATTACAACACCTTGAGAATTGATAAACATGTACATTGTTTGAAAACAATGCGAAACGTGTTATTGTTACAATAATTGTGAATCTCCGAACCGCCAACGCTCCTACTTAGTTTAAACAATTAACCAACGATTTCACATTCGACTAGTAAGCCCGCATAAGCTCAGCCAGACAATGGGAAAGCTCTGTACTTGTTGGAGGTGATGACTTATAATGAAAATTAAATTTTCATTATCAGTCATCTATATGAAGTCCATACCCTTTACACATAACTTTATAAAGCCGACCACAAATTTAATTTTTATACATATAATGGAATGAGAGCTCCAGTAATTTAAATTTAATTAACTAAAGCACTAACATATCATATACACACAAGATTTGATAGATATTCCTCGTCGTACATATACTTCTAGTTAAATGAATACTGAAACATCGTTTTACCATATTTGTATCAGCGGAGTTGCAATATAAAATGATTAATAACGAAACTATAATCAAAAATATGAAATTAACTCTGTTTTTAAATGACACAACTCGGCTTACAGCGAGTACTGAATAAAATATCTTAATATTTTTTTAATGATACGCTATTTGATTATGTTACATAACAATTCGAATAATTTAGAATCGACGAAAACAATCCCCAGGTATTATTAATGTGTAGTTTTTAACCCATATGCCAACACCGACTGCAGCAATTTTGATGAAAATTGTTTCCTTTGTTGGACTATTATCATCAGAAAGGCTCATCTGGGTATAGACTTTAGGTTCCGATGTAAACACACATACATACTAAGTACACACATTCCTCAAACATTAGTCCAAGTTCAACAGTCACAAATATATAGGTAAAACTGATAACCATCTCTAGAAGTCTTCATTCTACTAGTCTAGTCAAATGCAAATGAAACTAAAATAGTATAAGTTTTTTCATTAGTTAGTATACTGTAATTTCTTTTAGACATTTAAAAGTGAAAATATCTACCTATGTTGTTTTCTTTTAACGAATTTTACTGGAAATTTTGCGGCTGTAATCAAGAGTGGGACTCTAAAGAAAACGAATATAACTAGGACAAGACTTGAAACTGCATTGATGTTGTCCCGTTTTTTCAACATTGTTTTTGCTCTTAATGAATTTTCACTAGAGTTATTACAACCACGATTCTTTAAGCAACCTACTTTTAGTATAAAAATAATTTGTCTGTTATATTTTATGCTATCACAGTTCTGAATAACAATTGAAAAGACGCAAAGAGTTTGTTGAAATATAAAAGTCGTAAAGTTTTAAATTGTTTTTATAAGTAATCAAAAAGTCATGTTTTTGTTGTATATCCTATCGAATTTCGGCGATTAACTGTGGGAGTTTTGGACGAAAATTTTGAAAACATTTCGTTTAAAATTAAGAAGCTTCTTTTACCATCCAGGCATTTAGTACCAGTAGTTTCCGTATGAAGTCTTGTATCCCTCTAGGCCTAGGAAAGTCACATACCTGCCTCTGTTTCATTGAAGTTTCGGTACTTACGTATTAACGCCGCCGCGGCAAAAATTTAATGGTAAGGTTAGGTTAGGTTATCGGTTCATTTTCCATTAAAATCGTATTAAATACAAAACTTTAAAAAAAAGATTTTTTGGCTTCTAAAGTGATTTGATTTCATAAAAAGTGCTTCATTTTATATTTAATCATCAATAATTTAGGTTTAGGTTGTCCACCCTTGCTAACCATTAAATTTTTGCCGCGGTGGCTTTAATACGTAAGTACCGAAGTTTTTATTGACAAGAAATGATCATCCCTTTCCGACTTACGTGATTCATTTTCTGTTCTACCTTCCGATTTCCACACGTTTTTTTCTCTTCGCCGTTTAAACATATATTATATATATTGCACAGATTCAAACACATTGATGCATATTTGGTGTTCAAACGCACCACCTAGGTGTTAACATGGTGCATTTAAATTATAAGTATATATTATGATTACTTAATTATATTATATATTTTCCTTAAACTATTGTATAAATGCCAATGATAAATTTCTCCTTAACAGAATCCGGACGGAAATACGCGGCGGTGCGTGGTGTCCCAACGGCCTAATACTACCGCAGAGTCGTCAATTTCTTGAAATAGACCTACATGATGAATACTTGATCACAGCTACTGAATCACAGGGACGATTCGCCAACTCCATCGGCGTTGAATTTGTTGAAAGTTATTCAGTAGAATATTGGAGGGAGGCACTCAGCCGCTGGGTCAAGTATAAGGACTTTAATGGCAGTCGAGTAAGTACTTTACTGTTTTAGTCGGTCAAAGTCTTTTTAAGATATCATTCCTTCGCTTAGTATAACTTAATTCAATGTAAATATGACGCGGATGTCAAGTTAAATTCTAAATAAAAAGTCTCTTTTCTGTGTTGTATTTTTAAAATTAATTTCTTTAAACCCCCTGATGTCAACGCTGTGGACATCCAGATGTATCACTGTATTTTTCTCCTTAAATATTTACTTGGAGTTAGGTATCAATTTCAATGAATACGGTATGAATTCTTTGTATATCTAATAATTAAAATAAAATATTACACAAAGGATTGTGTCTAAAAACTCTTGTCTATAATTAAAGTCGACCATTAGTTCTTAACGGTTACTGAAATCAAGTTAAAGTAGTCGTTAACAAATTGAGAATTTAGTTCCGTATGTGTTGCCTTGTTCTTTGAATGTATAGTTCTGACATTGAGTCAATTTAATACAATCTAAGTATTTATGTCAACGATGATTTATTACCACTGTTTTAGAATTAATATACAAACTCGAACTGACCTTAATTATTATACTTAAAGTGAATATACCGAACGTAATAAATCGATGTTCACACAGTAATTATGTGTTATAAAAGCCAAGTGCATTAACACGACGAACTTAATTACATTTTATTGCCATTTGCACTTCACCTCGTGCATATAGAGGGAACGTAAGATGTGTTGTGACACACATTTATTCGAATTACCCTCGGCTACACGAAACCTTACTTAGCATTATAGCGGTTATACAAATTTTAATACGAAAATAAGATCGTAATGGTTATTCATATTCTTTGTTGTTAAACAAATGTGCATTAAATATTTTATAAATTTGTTCTAAAGGAAAATTATAATTAACGTTTAACACAATAAAACTAAGGCATAATTATATTATATTATCTATAAGTTTTAAGTCCCTAAACGGCCTTCTCGCGCTCCACCTGTGTCTCGATGTAAGCCTTCGAAATTAACGAGGCCTTCTGGTTCATCAATAAATTATACCCAATACAAAATACAATACAGAAAATACTTATACCTTAAGTTATTCTAAGTTACCGAAAGCTTAATTAATAATTATACCGGACAGTAACAACCCTTAGTTCAGCACTACAGCTAATAGTTATTGAACTATTCACATGTGCGGTTACACGAGTTTAGAGCTCAGTTTGCAAAGATCCTCTTACGAAATTAGTCCCGATGCGACTCCGAACCCGAGCCCCGCTTCATCACACAAATTACCTCAGTACATTTATAAATATTTTATTTCATCATCCTTTAAGATGCCACGTCCTTGTACTTTACAACGTGAGCGTTAAATATTAAAGTACTCTCGTAAAGTATGCACAGAGCATGATGTTTAATTATTATGTAATGTGAGTTTAATGTGTTTTCTTACAGCTCTTACCTGGCAACGTCAACACGTACACTCCTAGAAAGACAACTTTGGAAGCGCCGTTCATAGCTTCGAAGGTTCGATTCTTTCCATACGCAGCGCACCCACGGACGGCCTGCATGCGGGTAGAGCTCTATGGATGTCGTTGGAAACGTAGGTACAACAAGCATAAAGGTGGCTCGCGTGTCCCGGGACCTTTGGCTTTGCGACTTTTATAGCGAATGTTTTTTTATTGCTATGCGATTAGTAACCACCGATTGGTGGGAAATTCACTGTGTCCTATTTCTTCAGAGGCTCTTGTCGCGTACGCTGCGCCCAAAGGTTGTGACATGCAAGCGATGACTGGCGGCGCTCGCTTCGAGGACTTATCCTATGATGGGGTTGTACGCGAAAGCGATCTAGTGGACGGTCTCGGTCAGATCACTGACTCCTTCACTGGACCCAATGATTTTGAACTGCCTGACCCGTTAGATACTCGAGGTAAATTATTTGTTTCAAAAACTCCCGTTGTCGTCGATGTTCTGGACTTAAATGTATTTTTACAGGAACTCGATGGGTGGGCTGGAACAAGACGATGTCGGTGGATGATGAAGTTGATATAACGTTTAACTTTACGGACACAAGACTTTTTCATTATGTAGACATTCATACAAACAATATGTTTACCAAGGACGTTCAGGTAAATTTTTCAACTGTCTAAAGCAAAAATTCTATACTAGTTTCAATATATCGCATGGTAGCTGTCGACAATAACAGTAAGCCAATTTCATTTTATTAATAAGATAAATGCAAATTTGACGAGAGTAATATCAAGATGACCCCATTTCTAGGGGTCATCTCTTCAAATATTGTAAATTGATTGGTCATAATTTTATTCCAAAGAATTAGAATGATAAATTTAATTACGCCGAAAATCAATAAAAGCCCTTATATAACGATGTTTTTGTAGCTTTTCAAAGAGGCAGAAGTCTACTTCTCTCTGGAAGGTGAGCGATGGCAGGAAGACTATCTCTCCTACGAACCCAAGCAAGACAAAGTGTCTGAACACGCCCGTGTCATTCACATAGACCTGGAAAATCGTACTGCTCAACATATTAAGCTTAAACTGAAGTTTCATCACGAGTGGATTCTGATAAGCGAGGTCACATTTAAATCAAGTAAGTTTTTCCAACATTTACCAGTGTTTTAAAGTTTCCATACATTTTTATTGTTTAAATATATTACAAAATCATTTTTAAAACTCCTTTGTAGATCGTTACCGTAATACCTTTAGCTAGCTTCCGCCCGCGTGGATTTGGCAAGATTTTTGCGACCTTTTAAACGGTTATAATATTTCAGTCAATTTACATTAATAACCAACTATACATGTAAAGCTTCCTGAATCAGAATGAAAAAAACCAAATCTATTATGATTTGAATATTGAAAACCGTATGAAAATCGTTTGAGTTTATTGAGTTCATAGTAACATAAGTACAGACACACAGCCGCGGACTTCAATTTATAATTGTATATTTTTTTTTACACAAAATCAAATTATGTCTCCGTGGTTAGATGCTACGTACATCAACTCCTTTAAAAAAATATAGAACTGACTCCAAAATGCTTTAAAATGTAATATATAACAATATTTCTTATTCCAAGAGAATTTAATGTATTAGACGATAATTCATTTGTTTATAATCATGGTATGAAGATCCCATAAGTCAAAATAGTCAAGTCATCGATTTCGTTAAACAACCCACGTTGGGGTTTTACTGTGTAAAGAATTGGACAAATATAGTCATTCTTCTTTTTTTTGTATTGCATTGTAATTCATGAACCGTGACATAGGCTATTAGTTTTTAGTGTATTTATTTATTATTTTAGATTAAGTTTGGTAATTGTATAATTTTTCAGTGTTACGTAATTTTATTGCACTATATTTCGAAGATATTTTAAAATAAATTCAAACTCTCTCTCTAAGCTCAAACTCGGTTTCTGAGTTAAGTAACGGATTCAAGTGAACCGCAAGCTCTTTTGATTCCAAACTTAATGGTAAGAAAATGCTCACTCGCTCATTTTCTAAGAAATTATCAGCGATATTTTCTGAGAATAAATAAAATTATTTACTAAGAACACTATATAAATTTTCAGGACGATAAGTTTTTGAAGGCTTGATTGATTTATTTCTAAAAACCTTACTTAATACAAAATAATTTTTAAATCAAAACTCCAACTAAAAAAACATTATACAGACTAAAAAAACTACTACTGCAACTACTTTTTCTCCATCTAAATGGGCCATAAACAATAATATATTCATACAGAATGCGTGTAGGTGTATATTTGCGTGTGTGTGTGTGTGTGCAAAGCCTGTATGTTTTACATACTCAATATGTGACACGAATGAGCACTTGTCGTCTATAATTACGCCCAAGTTCCTCACCTGTCTTGTTCTATGAATTATGAATAATTGGATAATATTTCGTTTCCGTGAAAAGATTTTTAATTCATATTTTTTAATATTTATTGGAGTTTTGTTATTTTTGAAGTGAAACTTCTTTAGGCGTAAATTTTTACGGATGAAACGAAATAATATTAGCGTCACGAAGATGTGCAGCGTTTTTGTCGAAGAAAAGGGAGAGAGTGGTTGAGACCGATTGAGAGAGAGTGAGAAGGGCAAATTACCTTATAGAAATTCTATTTTTAAAATTAAAATTTCATATAGAGAATTTATGAAATATTAGTATTTTATGCAAAATCATTTATAGAAATCTCAAATGATGAATTGTAAATTTAAATTTCATTTTTTTTTATAATCGAAGAAATCAATTTAAAAAAAGGGTGCGTGTACTTATGTACGCGCGTAAGAAGTTATACTTCTTTGGCATTATTAAAAATAGTTTTTGATTGCATGCAAATAATTAATTACAATTAAATAATCAACGACTGGAAAAGGAGTCATTATAGTCAACAAAGTTCAGTTTACATTTGAAAAATTTAATAAATAAATATTTATTATTATTCTCTTACATTAAGTGTAACATAAATTCTATTAAGTTAAAAGTATAGATATATTATTATATATTTAGAACATCTCTACCAAACACTACGATGTATGTTGTAGCTTTGGCAGTATTGCACAATATAGCCATTGATTCAAAAGAGGAACCTATCTCTGATGATGATGAAGAGACCCTGCCCTCACTACCAACAGTGCCCTCATCTCAAAATACACTGCGTGGAGCAGCAGTGTGAGCCATTTTTATTGATGAAAACTTTTAAGTTTGATAGTTCTTAATTTAGGTTGTTTTAACAATTAAGTTATTTAAACAAATAAATCACTATTTATCTTTCAAACATTTTTATTGTATGTATTTCGGTCTGTAATTTTAAATTAATCATTACTTGATTGTACATCTTTGCCATATTCTTAACTCTATTTTTGTGTTCTATTTGAAGCCGCTCATTTTCCAGAGCCCGAAAGCTATGCATATCTTGATACGAGGCTTCTCCAAAACTAAAACTACTTGCTTTCTGCAACAAATAAGAGAATATCAATTTAAGCTCTGTCCATGCAAAACTTAAAAAATTATAATTCACATTATACAAATCCTTCCTGGAAGAACAGTCTATATATTAGTCAGATCAAAATCCGTTGTGTAGTTTACAAAAACTAATTCCACATGCTACAGACCTGAATAGCAACTTTTTTTATTCTATTTAGTGATAGAGATAATTTAAATATAATACCGGTGTCTTCCTTGTAGGTTTCTTTGGAGTTGTTTGGGGATTCTTGTTGTTCAGTTCGACATGATTTTCTTTAACCTTTGGATTATAATCCTACAAAATAATGAAATTGTTAAGTTATGTTGTCACTGTTGTGCACACCTTTGTCTGGCTTTTCTAGTATTCAAGTTATGTCAAAACTGATTTATTACCTTATCATTGTTCGCTTTATTTACTTTTGGGATAACAATTGTTTCCAAAATGATTTCATTTGTAATATCCTAAAATATATAAATAACATCTATTAATTTAAGTATCATGTTGAGTGGTTCGCATTCAGGTGTTAAGGTGTATTATACCCACTGTCCATTATAAGTGGGAATGGGCTCACTTCTGGCTGGACAGAGTTTCGGTACTACAAGTGCAACATGGATGTTCTGAGGTATTAGAATATCTCTTACTACCCTTTAGGGGAATAAAGTACTGTTGTGAGCATATGCTTATGCTTGAGAGGTTGAACCTTGAACATCACCATACATCATATTTATAATTAACATTCCTACCTCGACACCTTCACAATCAAATTCATTGAAATCGTCTTCAAACTGTTGCGGTATCATCTCTGCCACGTCCATTGTGTCTGGAGAAGGTGATGGTGGCTTTGTTCCACCTCCAGTTTTTGATGTTTCACAGCGATAAGATGACAACTCTTTTTGTATTCAATTTAGTGCACTTCCACTGATTCATCAATTGTTTTTGTCTCTTGTCCTTATATTTGCTAGATTAAATCTGAAAAATTACATGTTTTGAGTAACAATGTGGTTAATTTTTTAATCAAAACATTACTGGATAATAATAATACATACGGATAGTTAACCTCAATTGTATTAAAGCACTTAGGAAGGTTGATGAGCACAGTTTTTTCACAAATATTTTCTAATATTAATTATTATTGATTTAAATATTCAATTTAAATCATTTCTGATTATAATTCAAAAAGCATTGCTAAATTTCTTTAAAAAAAAAATTAAAACTCCTTTATTTGTTTAAAAGGTAAATGACAAATGTCATTATGGTCATTCAAAATTTGCGATCTTCGAACTTCACGCATATTCTATTTCTTTTTACTTGTAGATTGTCTTATTACTATCTCGCTCGCGCACGCTATAATCACACTAACAATTTTGTGTCACAGGTGCACGCGCATCGTAAAGTTTCACTCTCATCAATTTTTCATAATGCGCCTAAAGAAGTATAACTTCAAAAATTAAATTCATAATTTGTAATAATTTCGACACTTTTAATTTTTTAATAACAATTAAATTCCTAACAGATCTTCCTTTTTCCCTCCCTCTAAGTCTCGGAAATCTAAAGTTTTAGATTTGTATAAATATGAAGGCTTAAAAACAACTACTACTATAACAAGACTTAAAAATTAGTTTGGCTAAGAAGTTTCACTTCTGAAATGTGTACTTTGTACGCACTTTTTTTTTAAATACTAAACGTTTTATAAATAATAATGGGTATTTACTATTTTATGGAATATTTTCTTGTCATCTACATATAGAAGGCAATTAGCTATCTAAAGGCAATGGGGTGATGTGAGATCACCCGAAGTGACGTTGACAAAGTTCGAACGACAACTGCTAATGAGTACAGCCGGCGATTCTTATATAAGAATCCATCCAGTAAATTTTCTTTAATGCCTACTGTTTTTAACTTTAAGGTAGTATATAAGACGTCATTCAGTGCACCATCACTCATAATAGACCATAGATAGTGAGTCTGAAAGGTTAGTGTTGACAGAGCGAGATTTAAATAAGCTGTGTTGAGATGAGGGAAGGCATTCTTTGCATGAGTAATATACCTACATAGTTATTAACGATGCTTTTCAACATTTTCCCAAAAAAATTGAATATATATACTCCTCTGTTAACTACAGTTAATTTTATTTTTTTAACTAACTCGTACGGTTTTTCACTTTTTGGGGACAATTAATCCGTATTAGCAGTTTTTTATAAATATAGCATATCTATATTTTATATTATATTATATCTATATATGATGTATCTAACCCAGTCCCTTTTTTGATTTCCAATTGTTTAAAGAGAATTTCTTGAAAAAGAAAAAGATTGTTTTTAGTGCGGTGAATGTCGTGGTGAAACTCTACGCATTGAATAGAAAAAAAACACTATGAAAAAAACAGTTGAACGCGTTACAGATATTTTCACCATTAGAATGAGAAAAAGCTATGAAAATCATACAACACGAGAGACTGCTGTTTTTCCTTTTGCTATTTGCGAACCTTCAGAATTCCTTAGGGTTTTTTAATCATTTCCTGTTCGCAGCTGTAAATATATTTATAAAAGCACTCCTCTTGGAGTTGCTTAACGCTAGCCCTTAATAAGGCGAATGAGGCATAATCATTGAGATTTTTATGCTTCTTCCATTTTTTATGTTACTTTAAGTTTTCGTTTATGGCATGTTGAAGACTACCACTGAGAGTAGTGATAATGCCCTTTCTTAATGATTCTGGAATAGTTGTGTAAAGCCCTTAACATGTATATGCCACAGGTATATTGAGTATTATATTGAAAATTAAAAAAATTGAAGACGTCCTCAATTCAAATTAAACTCTTAAATATATATTCTGAGAATGCAAATTGAAAGATGTGATATCATGATAACGCATATCTTCATGCACATAATCACCGCACTTATACAACTAAGAAAACCTGGGAAAGCAAAAGCCTTTGGCTGGTAAATTCCGTACCCAGATAAACTTAATAAACCAAGGCGTATAATACGCAAGGTAATTGCATTAAGATGGACAGAATAGAACAGAAACCATAGAAGACACGCTAATAGATCCATTCTTCTTTCCTTATCAGTTCCGAGCACTCGCAAACTCACAGCAATTTCACAAATTTTATCTCTAATTAATCCATGGCTCATTCAGAAATCGCTCCTTAAGTGATAAATCGCCATCCGCCAAATGGGCGACTTGTAATTAAAACAAAATTCTGATCGCGATTAATATTCCAATTATAATCCTGAATAATTACTCTCTGTTATTGAAAAATCTAAAGGTTTCGTAGTACTTGTTAGTATAAAAAGCTTTCGTAAAGCCTTCTTCAAGGAAGCCAGTATAGCTTTGGAAGCTTATTAGGAGTGTAATATTTTCTTTTGAATTTTAATAATGCTTCCCTTCCTTATTAATATTGTGAAGCCATCTTGCACTTTACGATAATATGAGCTAGAAATACCAATAAAGTAACCGTTTAATAAATAAAATATAAAATTTAATGTTTTATTATATGATTGAATGCTGACCAATAATACAAATCACTTATTAGTAAATCCCTTTAATAGCGCCATACGTGAAACAATTATTATTATAGTGACTAATCACTAAACACTTAAAGCGAAGGATAAACTTTCAAAGCGTAAAAAGCGAGCATAAGTATTTTATGATTTGAATACAAAAAGTCTTAAATAGCACTAAAAACAAAAAATAAACAACGATAATCTCCTTATACACTTACTGACTTTTGCATAGAAAAACAATTTATTATTGTGAACTCTCATTTCAAGAAAAACACCAAAAATATTTGGGCATGGTTTTCACCAGATACTCAAACCAGTAATGAAATCGACTTTAAAAAAAAATAAAAGACTTTATCATACCGTCGAAAATATAGATATAATTAATTCCACTCACCCAACAGACCACCGTATGGTTCGTGCAACAGTGACAATTACAGCAAAAATTTAGACAGGACTGAACCCACTAGAACAAGAATTACTCAAGAATATTTTTTCGGTTCAACACACTCAATAATCTAAGAATATCCAAGAACATTATAATAATATAATACAGCCAATTAAAACCAGTGTCGAAAAGTCACCTGGCCGCACCTGGCCCACGACAGACACGAATGGATGGAGGAGACCTATGTCCAATGGTGGACAAACGAAAACCTGACAATGCAAGCATATCATGGTTCCTAAATATTACATTGTATTTTACTAACTATTAAAAGTTAATTTTTTATGATCCATATAAATGAAACTTCAATGTTCATAATTAAGTTTTGGAAATAAAGGTTAATGTGGTTGTCATTGATGAAAGTAAAACAAAGTAAACATCGAAAAACATCCCTAACATTCAAATATTCTTACGACAAAGACCCTGCCTGAGGAAATGGTAAAACAACTGAGCATATTTAATTCAAAATAAATTCAACCCAATAGGAAACAGCTGGTTAGGACACGGCCAAGCAAATGACACATGAAATTGAATTAGTAGTTTAGTTTCGGCAAATTTCTCAAATGTCGGGCAAAGTTTCTGAACTCTATTTGGCAAACCTACGCGCATTATAACGGCAAAAAAATTTGTTTATAATTGACTAGTTATTTCGTAACTGTATCCAAAATTTATATTATCGGAATTAGTGCTTTGAGTCAAAGGTCCTCAGTGCTTTGAGTCAAAGGTCCTCTACTTTATAAACATTTTGAACAAAATATTTTCTTGCATCGTATTCCCTATTAACTTAATTCCTTAAGAAGCCCAAAGGCCATTTCAGCCTTAAATTTAAAAAAAATTAAAATATGTAAACATTTTTAATTGACAGTGAGACTTAACTTTTAACCAAGTCAGCAGTCTTCTTTAATCTTGTCCAATTAGGAAACCTTATAAACTGTGGTAGTGGCCGGCAACAAGAACCTTATTAAACGGGTGTTTCATTTTGTAGCTATTTCTATTTCTTTTTCATTTAAAAGTAAGACAAGTTGAACTCTTTCTAGGAATTATAACGTGTAGCTTATAGCCGTAATATATATATTGGGTTCGATGGTCGGCGACATATGTCTATAAATTTATATTTATTTATTTATTCCAATGGTATGCCGAATATACATAATTTATTTAATAAAAATATGAAAGCTACAAACAATATCAACGTCGAAAAACTTCGTAAATTTGATCAAATATCTTTATCACTATATAATTAAAAATTAGTTAGTTGTCTATTGAAGAATTATTGTAATTTGTAACGTATGCTCTGGGTGCCGTAATTACTTTAGAGACAAGTGTAACGGCAAATTAATACTTGGGGAGAACGTTATTAATTATGCCTTTGTTTACGTTACCTTGCGGGTCTTGCGAGTTTCAATATTCTCATAAAATTCAATGCTTATGCGAACCACACGGTACCTTTAAGTTGGCCCGGAATCAAATTTGCAAACTCACACGTTGCTGGCGTTCTGGCTTTGAACAAACCACGGTTTTACCGCTTTTAATCTTCAACCCTAGGAAATAATATTAAAAGCATAAAATTTAATTTGAGTTAGGCTGGACGAAGTGTGTCAGGCGCGGATGGTTGAAACCTAGACTATTGAAGGGTTTTAGCGCCGTGGATGATGAACGTATGATTGTGTTTTGCTTTTTAGTATTTTATATACGTACTGCGGTAAGGCCGAACCTGAATACAACGCAATTAGAAATCCGCACAGTATTAGCTGACTCTTGGCACCTAGGCGCAGTGACTTTGGCAAACGGCCATCTCTCACCTCTTAGGCTAAACCTAGTTTTACTAGTTTGACACACTAACTAACGACTCCACTAGATTTAGCATTCCCGGCTATTTAAAAGCTGACGCTGCAATTTATAAAGACTAACGAACCTTACTCTTTATTAACTCTCGGAAGACAAATTATTGCAATAAGTTTTCCGAAAATGTTGTTATGAAAATTTAAAAAGAAATTATTAAGTTCAGTAGTTCGATTTCAAGAGAGCGTATAAAATGGTATTGTAAATGAACAATTGAAGTAAGATTTACCAATGGATCAGAAAGCGCAGAAAACAATCTACCGTGACGTCCTTGTTCCGTGAACCGTCTGCTCAGCACAAAACCCATCTGGATCCAAACTTGGCTCCTTCCTTTGTAGAACAACAATTAGCTCTGCGCCCGACACCTATTCATTACGGTGCTTTGTCTTAGATGGACGAGATTTTCTTTAGTCGAATATTCCAAATGAAATGGTGCTTATATATCAACTATTTCCAAAAAAGCATGATCTACGAAGGAGGTATAATAACACATAGTTTTACATTAGTAAATGATGCTAAAATAAAGATATTTTTGTTACAGTTCCAACAGTTGTGAATCAATCTATAGAATTCCTAGACGAATACTATAGGACAGACACTCCGCCGACGTCAAGAAAGAAACGCAATTCATCTATAAAAGTGTCCGTTGGCCTCGCCTGCGGCGCCATTGTGGGTGGTGGGGCATTCATAGCGGCCACAGCTATTCTTGCGACTAAGCGAGCTAGGCGAAGAATTCCAAACATGCTTAAAAAGCCGTTTTGTCCTTCCCTACGATGCAATACTCGAAACAATCGACGTACGCCACGTCTAGCATTAGCCCTTGCAAATTGTCCGCCAATACACATGCTTCGGTAAATATCTTAAAATTGCTCAAACCTAAAAGCATAGGCTCTTATATACTCTATTTAACATTAACGGTATTTTATGTGTAATTTATTACCTATGTAACTTTTAACAGTCAGGAAATCGTAACTTGTTTAAGTCATAAGTAATCAACACTACTAAGTTAATAAAATTATATTATTTTCCTATGTAGCAGTCCGGCCATTGTGGATGAAGACTATCGAGAACCCTACAATATATGGCGAGAGACACTTGGACGTCAAAAACGTGAAATCCACGACCAAAATGAATATAACGGTAAGAATTATTTACTTTGATAATACTTAAAAGGTACTAAACTAAATAAATATCAAAAAGTAGGTCGTTCAAGCCATTTCTAACATTTGTGAATTAATAGGCTGTTATTATTAATTTCACAGTATTCAAATTTAATTGCTTATAACAAAAACAGCTTGGAGTGAAAGAATATTTCGTTATATTACTACCCCCAAACAAACAATATAGGCATAAATTTGTACATATATGAGCAAAGGTAACTTGAGTATTAATTAATGGGATATATTTCAATCAAAAGCGACTGTTCCTTAAATTAAATACCTTGTGGGCATGTCAGACATGTAGGGTCATAGACAAAAGCAAATATCACAAACACGCACAATGAAAACATAGGGTTTGCCCCTAATTGTAAACAGGAGTATTCTGTTCAATTGAGTAGCTTTAAAAGCTTTGTGCTATTGTAAACACTGTATTTTGTGTATTACTACACTAATATTATAAAGATGACAGATTTTTATCTAAGAGTATTTTACCAGTTCTTCTTCGTCATTGATTTGAGAACTGGCAGTTAATGTAAATTTACAAATAGGGCTAATTTCAAAAACTATTTCACCGTTAACCACATTTTCCCTGAGCGCGAAGCGAAAGACGATTTTGAAGCTGGTACAGGCAGCCATTCTATAGTAATGTAGTTAACGTTTACTATGACATTATTACAAACAAGTTTTTATATTCAAGTTAAACATTCTACGTATTATTTTTTGTAAATACATATATAAATAATTAATAAATAAAACCTCCAGATTTGAATCACTAATTCTTATGCTTGACTACTTGAAACAGAAAAGTTGACCTTTCAGGTCAAATTTCTGTATGTTTCATGCTCAATTGTCAATCTAATAGGCAAGTCAGTGATCAGTCTCTGTGCTTGACACACGCCGTCGACTTTTTTAGGTCTAAGGCATGCCGGTTTCCTCACGATGTTTTCCTTCACTGTTCGAGCGAATGTTAAAAACGCACATAGACTGAAAGTCCCTTGGTACACAGCCGGGATCGAACCTACGATCTCAAGGATGAGAGTCGCACGCTGTATCCACTAACACTGCATTGCAAAAGTTTTATTAAGATATAACAATTATAAAAGATTTTAAAAGTATTATCTCGTACTTTTCTCGAAATGAGAAAGCTAATCTAGTAAAAGCTGTTGGAGACGCTGTCGTTTCCCAATTAGCATTGGCGGGTTTTAGCAAAGCCAGCATCTTTACAATAATTGATGTGATGTTTTCACTGCGTCTGAACTAGTTTGTGACACTCAACGAATCACGGCCCTTGACTACACTCGTTACGTTTTGAGCACTCTCAACATCAGTTCGTTACTTTCACATGTGTACATTTTTCCTCACACATGTACTTCTGAAAAGTTGTTTTCCTCCGCCTTCTCCACGGTAATTATCGTTCTTAAATTTTCTTTAAAGACCCTCAAAGTTTTCCTAGGACTCTCCCTGGACCGTTCATGTATTGTCCTAAATACGGGGACGAATACCATTACATTTACTAAGTGTAGTTCACCTCTTGTACATAAAACGAATTAGTCACAGAACAAACTTTAAATCATAAAAGAAAACATCTGCCACAACAAAATAGCGTAGATCAAATTTAAGATCTATGCATCACAAAAGGCCATAACAAATGCAGTAATCTAACTAATCTTAAAAGGTTGTAGTACCACTTGCACGTAGAAAACTTTTCCATCAATGTGTACTAGCTAATGATTCCTGTGAAAATATATGGGATTCGGGCTAGACACTAAGGGGGGTGAAGTAACGCTTACGTGCCTCTTAAACCCTTCAAATAGTGATACAACAAAGTGAGAGACGAATTGCTCGTTACAAAAGCCGGATGTCCGACGGGAAAGCCGCATTGTTCAACTACTGTATTGTTAAGATGCATCGACGGCTAATAGGGATGGCTCTTTGCGAGGCGCGTGAAAGGGCTACGTACATCATTTGACAGATGATTTCACAACCCTATTGTAAAAGCTTCAATAACAATTTACCCAATTGACGATAGAGTTAGTAAGCAAAAAAAAAGCCGTTGATGCCTGATTGTAGTGTTCTTTAAACAATTAATATTTATCAACTCTTACAGATAGTTAAATTAAGTACTCGGAGCTTTTAAACTCTTATTAATTGAACACCATCTTAAAAGTTTGCAAAATTAATTTTATAATATCAGATCTATCAATCTCGGCAGTTAATATTGGAAGCTTAAAGGTTTTACTCTGTTGGTTTAAAACAATTAGTTATATTTTTAGGCTATCTCCCATCTATTAAAGAAGTTTTTGATCTTTGAATTTGAATACAGTAGTTAAACAAATCTGTGTATGTTTGAATTGAATCAAACTGAGCAGCAAAATAGTCCAGATACAATTTTGCCAATTTTACAAGAATGTAAAATGAGTATAAAATATTTTGTTATAGAAATATGCGAGGATCCGGAATTCCCTCGACCCTACATGATGAAACGGGCCGACCCTCACGAGAGCTTCTATGCTGCCACAGACATTATTCACCATGTAAGTACATTCTTTGATAAAAATGTTTTACAGGATATTACAATATGTTCGCCACGACAACGTCGGTTTATAGATGTTTATTTCCAAGATAAAACGTAGGTCACATCTCTAACATCTATCCAGTCTATCAGCATTCAATTTTTTGTATAATAATTTCTGATGTTTCGCATATTTCAAATAATATTTTGCGGGTCTGACAGATGACAGTTCTTTCGGGTCTTTCAAATGACAGTTCGAGTGTTTGCCAGCTTGAACTTTTGACAGTCTTCAGTTGCCTAACGACTAGTATTACCAAAGATCTCTTACTAAAAGTTTAAACTCAGTTGTACAGATAAGGGTGAGAGAGTCGAGAGGAATTTTACCCTAACAACAGCAGTCATATTCATAATAATTTTAAACAGTAGCTAAGCTTAATTTTGATAACAAAAGAATATATATACGCATAAATACGACAACTGGGAAGTAACTCGATTCTTACAGAATTTCTCTTTGGATGTCACAAGAGCCGTTTAAAGATTTACTTTATTCTGCAGTACCGTAGCTTCGGTCAATTGAAGCTTTAATTACTTTTTTACAATTAATCCTCGCCCGGTTCAACTCCTATTTAAATTGAAATAATGAGTTCCTTTTTTACTTCTGTTTAAACATATTTTAACACTCCTACTAAGGATTTACATCAATTCATACAAACATTTCTCGTTTATTTTAAAAAGGTATTTAATCAAAATAAATACATAATATGTATTGTAATGAAATGGTTTATACTGCCCAATGGTTTATATACCTCATATAATGAAATAAGCTATATAATGTAAGCCGAAAAACTGAAACTACGGCGCGATGCCTGTCATTGTGATTGATCGACAATATCTCTAGTCATTGAATAACATAATGTCGCTTGTCAACGCGTCACGTATTTCTTAAATTATTGCCATTCAAAAAAGTTACTAAATTTTATGTACCTGACGTACTTTCCATTGTGTTTTTCACCTTCCTTCCTTCCTTTTAGATACATTTTTATTTTTTTATGATACATCATTAAAAAATACATACAACCCCTAATTTTCGCCCCTTTACTATTAACCCCTATTTTCTATTATAAATTATATACATGGCAAAACGACGTTAGCCAGGTCAGCTAGTTATAATATATAAAACAATTATAATACATAAAACAAAGTCGGGTTTGTCCGAAAACTTATAACTAAACCGTAACAGACCGACATTCATAGTGTTTGATCCGTTGTATGTGTTTCCGTCCTTAATATCGAATACAAACAGAAAAAATATAAAAACAATACCCAATACAACATGTTCATGGGTTTCATATCTATCAATCATTTAATGTTCATCCCGTCGATACGGCAAACTCTCCATCAAATTAAATAATTTATTTAAATATTGAAACAAAAAGTAATCGGATCGACTATCGAAATTAGGATAACGGCGTATTTACACATGACATTTATCGACTGTTAGGCGGTACGAAATTCTTCGGGTCACCTTGTCAGTGAATAAAATAGCTCTTAGGTCAACCGTGAAACTATGTTAACTAATTATCTGATACCAACCGACAATCTAAATACACATACAAAACCAAATAACGTATATAATAGATTTCACATGATTAACACGAAATCTGATGAACACAATCAAGGGAATTAATTAATTTCCGCTCTAATCGAAATATCAATTTAGTATCAAATCATGATTAGCTCTTATTCAAAATGGTTATTGATTGCCTAATAATGTTGTTTAGTAAGCAGATAATTGTTGCATTGACCATTCTTTTTAAAATTAACTTTTGTAACTACCTGAAAGAAAATAAAACTACCCTCATTTTTGGGATTGGGAAATAAACATAAAATAAATCAGTGGCGCTACAACCTCGTTAGCTCTGGGCCTCAGATTTCTGAATCTGTTTCATGATAATTTTTCAATATAATTGGCAAGTAGGTGATCACCCTCCTGTGCCTGACGCACGCCGACGACTTTGTAGGCACACCGGTTTTCTCACGATGTTTTCCTTCACCATTCGAACGAATGTTAAAATGCACACATAGAAAGAAAGTCCATTGGTGCACAGCTGGGGATCGAACCTACGACCTCAGGGATGAGAGTCGCACGCTGAAGCCACTAGGCCAACATTGCTCTATTTTTATGGTATTTATTAACGTAAATAAATCATCTACTAAAATCAGTACACACTCAGCCACACTTGTATCTTTTTCACAGTTATTCCTTATGTGAGTGAAAGACACTGTTCATCTCGTGTGGACAGATTAGAACAGCATCTATTATCACACCCATCGTTTACAAACAGAACTTCAATCGTTTGAATAAAACCCATGCATTTCTTAAGTAACAATTACAAGTACTCGACAGTCGATACAACTCCATATCTATTATATTAAACGAAAATATTAACATATCTTAGAAAATAAAACCGACATCATTATCAGCTAGTGTATTGAAGGGCCTAAATTTGTCGAACGAGAAATGTATTATAATTAATTATATAGGTACATAATATATAATCGCATATTTTGCTCCGTTTCGTCAAAAAAGTCCGAAATTTTAATATAAAAATATTATATGACGAGTAAGTTCATTTTTACATTAAGCATTTATAGAGGGGTCCAGGGGGCCGCGTCCACCCAAGAATGGTCTAGCGCCCGCCCCAAGATGTTTTCAATTCGCCCCGATCCAATCTAGGCTGGACAATTAATAAGCTAATTAAGCCATTATCAATTCGATCCCGGTTGTGGACCAATAAACTATTTTCTGTGCGCGTTTGAGACTCGCTCATATGGTGAAGCAAAAAAACGTGAGAAAACCGATATTAGACCGTATCGATGTGTGTCTAGCACAGAATGAAACACACACACTGAGGCCAAGGAGAGTCTGGGATGTAGTGCACTGGTTATTTTAAATACCATCTACAATCACACAAAGTCACTAAATCACCTTAAACCAAAATTCATAATTTTATCCCGCATCAAATTATAATGGCCATAATACTAAATATTCCAGACAAAGCTTAACTTATAACCGTCTGGATCAAAAACTTTGCCGTCCATGAAACTAAATTTTAATTTACGAAAGGTCAACGACCTTTTAAAGCAGAATTTTAAAGCATTCCCGTGTCTTTTCAATTCAATTACCTTTTAGACACCTATGTCAGCGTTTCTCGTTTTAAAATATCCTTTTGAACTCAGATTGGTAAATATGAATACCTATAGGCATAACATTTTAATGACATGTTTTTCACTGGACCGGACATTTTCAATTTTTCGTCTTTGTGTTGTTAGTTTTGACATCAAAGGGATTTTAATTAATTTATCGAGTATGAATGGGTATGAAATGCACAAAAAATTCTTTATTAAATAGAGAACCGTTTAAACAGTTACAATTTTAGTTGCTATTAACCTGTGGTGGTGTTAATATGTTCATGTTATGGTAATAATCAGTTAAGTTATAACTCGCTTAAAAAGACTCGAACACAAAGTACAACTCAAGTTACAAAGTTTAGTACTAGATTAGTTAACGACTGACTTAATGAAGAATAGTTGAATTAATTAACTTTTCTAACTACGGCATAGTAAACTTATCTACTAAATAGTAACCGTTCACCGTGAATAAATTATTATGAGTACCTGTATATTGAGATATATTTGTGTACACTGTTTACTTCATACATACCAATAAGCAAGCATTATTTTAAGCATGACATTATTCAATTGTATTCGATAAATTAAAAGGCCGGTAGCGCACTCGCTAGCCATCTGGCATTAACAGTATTCATCGGCGGTATCACTTAAAATCAGGTGAGCCTCCTTGCCCGTTTCTTCTATTAAAATATGAAAAAAATCGGGAGCCAATAAATGCTATTACGATTGTAGGTATAAATGATATTACATTATAGCATACACACCTACACTATACTGAAATCAATACGTGAAATCTCGATATATTATTGGTTTATATACCTTCCGCCTACAGGAAAAGTATGTATTATGTACTTCTTTTGTACGATGTTTGTGGTAGATAGGCTTTTTTCGCCTGATGGCTTCATAAGGACATTTTATTCGATGAATAACACTTTTAGCCACAATGATATTGTGACCGTAACTGAGATTATAAATATGATTAACTCATGTACAACTTGTTTAGTTGTCTTCAATTTTAAACCTTCCTCTACAATTTCTCTAGGGTCTATATCAAGTGTTGTCATTCTCCAGTGATCAGCCCTAAACCACTAAACCCTATTTTATTTATTAGGAAACATCCTAGAACAGGTTTAAAACAAAAATAGTAATGCTGCAGAAAGTTAAGATGTGAAAATTATGTAATGAGGCAAAAAAGACGAAAAAATATTAATTATAACAATGATAAGAGATATTCTTAAAAATAGATTATAGGCTGATTGACTTATAAATTTGCGGGTCGGGATTATTTTAAGGCTGTATCTGAGATTGTCTATCTTTTAAAGAAAAAACTTTTTAACCGGATTAAAGTTATGTATTATAAATTTACAATTATTTAATAGAGGACACCGTGAGCCATTTTTGCCAAAACCCTCCATCTTTTAGTCGATACCAACTCCGGGGAAATAAATACAGATAATGCAACTTTCTCTACAGCTGTGATACTTTTTGACATCCAACACCTTTTGCCTTTAGTCACGTGACCACGCACGCTGTAAAGCACGCGAAACGTCGGATAAATTTAAAATTATGTTAAATAATTGTAAATTTATAATAATACATAACTTTAATCCGGTTAAAAAGTTTTTTCTTTAAATGTGTAAAGGTTATGTCAATCAAAGACAATACTATTGTCTATCTTTATTATTTTTACCTTTGTTTAAAAACATTGGAATGTATTCAGCAGCATTGGCTAAACTCGTTGCTATTTTATAGTTATAAAGGGTGGTTGATTTCCCAGAGGAAAACCGAGCGAGCGGCAAACCCGCCTATTGATGGTTAATTTATAATGAGCACTGTTGTTCACTACATTGCTTACAGCATTATTGATATTTTGTTTGTAAATTGTTTACTTTTATAAATCCCTTGGGTTTGCTATTAGATGTAGTTTAA